GGGTCATTTATAAACTTCAGAAGTTGTACTGTATCAGCTTGCCAATTTCAAAGCTGATATTGACCCGCTGCATGTGTAGCTTTTATAAGAAGTGGCCTCGATTAGTCATGTCATCCACTGAGATACTTGCTGAGCACATTTTAGTTATTTTTTATATCCTAAATTATGTAAGACTTTCCCTTTTCTTACTAATTTGTTGATTTAGACTCAAGGAAACCCACAAGCACATGTTTAACCTGCATTTGACCCATTCATATAATCCTTGGACATCAAATCACAGAAAGTTTGCAACTGTAGTTCCATACACAACAGAATTATAAATGGTGAAATAGGTACCAAATTGTGCCTAAATAAGCTATTTTTATAGTGTGACATAATTTTACAACAAGCGAAACTAGGTACCAGCAAACAGCTTGAACTGATTGTATAATAATGTATTTTACTGTAGTCATTTTGCTGCCAGTTTGTTTACATTCTTTGCTAAGTAGGAGATACATGTGTCAAAGATATTACGTGAACTTGGCATATGCGTTTTCATAGCTGTTGGATTTTTTAAGCTGTGGTAGGTAATGCTGTGTTTGTTAACAGCTTTTTGTTTGATTCTAAAGCAGCTCATAGTCAACAAATTAAAGAAACACTTTTCTTGCATCTCTAATCTGAGGCCATATTCAGATGTCCACATTTTGTCAGACAAGATTGTAATACTGGGAAACTATTATTATGGTGTTTGTCCCTGAAGTTTCCACTTTTGGCCAAATACCACAGCTGTTAAGTAATTATCCCTTTTGCCAGGCAGTGGAATGGGTCTGTGTGCCTTACTGTGTAATTGTAGATCTTAACTGCAATAGTGCATCTCCAGTGGAAAGCAACTATCTATCAACTATCTATCATACACAGGACTTGCAAGTCCTGTGCATGTTCATACAATATATATGCATAAATCCTTTTAAACACCCAAAGTGTAAGTTTTATTATTCTGTGCTGTGCTCATATATTCAGAATCACCTGATTTTATATACAACTTTGTTTCTCTGTCCACCATTAGCCTGTTCACCACTCTGCTTTGATCATAAGAAATGTAATAATCCTGTAACCCCTGCAGGGGCCATGTGTTGACCGGTATCATTTCAGTCACAGATGTTAATCAAGCATCTAGGACAGGCAAGACTAGACAGAACTGTCTCAAAGGCAAAGTCCAGGTCTCTGAGGTGATGGGTTACTTTGCCATGCAATAAGTGCACTGTGAATATAAAAGATTATCCATTTATCTTCGGCACAGACAGACCGGACAGGCACTCCAATATATTAGATTTTCAGATGATTTCAAAGTTTTCTTTGTCTTTAGTAAGATGTGTGGCAATGACACTAAAGGTGAATTTTGTGTTTTACATTTAAACTGCTGTTGAACAATTAATTGCAACAAGGTCAGTGCATTCTGTCTGTATCTGCCTCTTTCTGAATACAAATACCATTGCACATTAAATTGGATGTGATTTATTTTGCACACTGTATTATTATTCACATTCACAAAATGCTTTGAGAAAAGTTGGAAATGTTACAGTAAAAAAATCTCTCTTCCCTACAAGCCCCTGATTCTGGAAACTGAACTGATGCTTTTTAAAGAGTGAGGCATATGGCTAGTTATGCAACACAATTCTTAGAATATTATATTTAAAGCAAAACATTTTTAGCTCATAACTGCCACAGATGATATTAACCATCTCTAAATGTGGTGCACACTTGTTTGTAAGGCCTGAGGCCAATATCGCCTCTTCAGTAGACTTGCATGTTACTCAGACAATTTGACTGAGCAGTTTATCCACATGCTATGTATGTGTTTTGATCTCTGATTCATGCAACATACGGTAGACATGCCTTAGCATTAATCATGCCAAAAACCAGTGTGCTCTTCTTTTGACTCCATCAGGAATATTGATTGCAGGGTTTGCTTCTGACTCACTTGATATAATCCTGATCCAAAGCTACTTGAGTTTTCTGTGTAGTTTGTCCCACATGCACTTGTGCTATGGTTCTAACAAGCTAGGTTATGGCCTGTGTGTATGTTATGTGTGGAACACCAGCCTTTTATAAAAATAAAAAAAACACAGGGTACACAAGTTACTTACATCGATGAGGTGTGTGTTATACTCTCAACAAAATAACCAAAGCAGAATAGGACAAATCAGAAAGATTAAAGGGTAAGGCCGGTGATATTCTATATTTTTATTATTGTTGGCAAATCCCCTGATATGAGTAAACCAACAATTTGTTTTTCCCTCTATGATGCATTGCATGTGTAGCTGATAAAACTTATTTCTCCGTACCATCAACCTCCATTATGTCCATTCTTGCCCCTTCATTATGATGAACAACTCACAAAGGCACTAAATGTGTATTATTTTGCAGCAATTTACTCCTGTTCAGTAATGTTTGCAAAAAACTACAGTGCCCAGATATTATAGGAAATAGGAATTTTTATGTTTAAAGATTAAGGCTTAACTCATGGCAAAATTATTTAGATTACTTGAATAGAACACAGATTGTTTGATGATCATCACCATTTATCACTGTTTGTAGTCATGTATGCTTGTAATTAACCTTTTGTATTTGTATTTCACTTAGTTTTAGTATATGATTGATAGGAGTAAGAGGCCATCCGTTGTTGTCAAATTCTCTTGCTCTACATTCTCTCCTATCGCTTTGTGGGACGTAGTTTTTGTTGAAATTTAAGTCTTGCAAAAAAATTCAGAGCCACTACACACAACCACAAGTCAAGAATGTACTGGATGCAAAAAGTAGTAGATAAAAATATATCAGAACCTCCACACACTGATCTCCATTGCAAATATTCCATTATTGTCAAAGCCTTTGGACCACAGACCCAAGTTTATAATATAGACACAATCTTTTCAAATATTCTAATGATATGACAAATGTATTTACATGTCAAACAACAACAAAATATGCATTTAATGTATAATAAAACTCTAGTGTTTTGGCTGCCCTGCAAGGTTGTATATCTTATGTCCTCTACTAATTGAATGTTAAAAGAAATGTGAGAATCTATATCTTGCATTAAGGGATTAGTGTCACTAAGTTTTATCAAGCTCTTAAAGAGTTCAGTTACAAACCTAATTAATACTGTAGAGAGTCAATCAGAGGAGCATGGAAACCAATTCCATGCTATCACCAATTCCTTTATTTTTCCATTATCACGTAACACTTTTAAAGCTGTTTCAAGCTATTTTCTTTTCATTTATTGGCACATGCACTAGAAGGTTTTAAATATCAACTAACTAACACAAGAGTATTATTTCAGTTATTTCATTGTAAGGTGGATTTTGTACTTGTGCTCACTTTGGTACAAACTTTGTCAGGCATTAAATAACAACAAAAACATGCAGATTTAATTCAGAATTAAGGTAGTTTGATGAATGAATATATTTGTAGCCAATTATAAGATAATCTATATGATTTGTCTTATAACAACAAATGCTGACTGTTAAGCAAAGACCCAGAATTGATGTACTGCCAAGTGTGTGCATTTGCATGTGCAGCAACAGCCAAAAGTAGCCACCCACAATGCAAGGCTTCATCTCTACCCACTTATAAGCCAACGTTCACATCAGTGTGTTTAGTTTTTCCTACAGTTGCCAAGATGAAGGTAGTTACTGGCTGTATAGAAATGAGATATGTATCATTCATTTGCATGGAACAGCATTGCTAATGTCTAATTAGTTCTTGTATCAAATTAAACTCAAAGGTTAAAGTCGACAGTAAAACAAGTTGAATGAATTAGTCTGTAAACATGTGAAAGTGAACACCCTCTACTGTAGTTTCAGTGTCCAGTCTTAAGGACATGCATGTTAAAACCGACCCTAGTGACCCAGTGTCGATTTCATTTGTAATCATGAGTTGGAAAACAAGACTCACCGGAAGACTTGTACCCTTGAAATTCAATAAAACAGAGATGCTGTCCTTTTCCATTTAAATTATGTCTGAACAATAAACTATATGAAAGTGACACAGACACAGAGAGCAGTACTCAGAGCACTTTATCATACTTTAATCTTGAGATGAGTTTGGTCAAGGTGCCCCTGTCTCAGACAGTGCCCTTAACTGATACGTCAGTACATTTGAGATGTAACCAGGAGTCATATGCAATAAGGATGTGCATTCTTGGAGGTTTGCCTTGGGCAGCTGGCAGCTGAAATTAAAATGATTTAAATGGATGTTTATTTCATTCTCTAAACAATGCAGCAAGGATGCAGACAGATCTTGTTGTCAGAACCAACACAGACATAGGCTACCATCCAGATTTAGAATTTGTCTAGATTAGATCCAGCTTTATTGTCATTATGCAGAGTGTGGGTACATAGCTAATGAAATGCAGTTAAGAGAAGGTCACACAGCAATACAAACAACTGCAAAAATAATGCCTTTCTAACAGTACAAATTAGTCATTTTAAATGTTCTGTACAGTTGATAGTAGATAGTTTATTGAATGCTATTGGTATCACTACGCTTCACAGTTTCTTAGTATTTTGAGTTTGTTCCCTGCAGTCATGCTGTGGGTGGGTATACTGTATACACAGTACAACGTCAACTCATAAGTGAAGACTTGTGATTGACCTTGCAGTTATTAGATCAGTTCCCACTCTGCACTGCATCACTGAATTCAGGCATTTTGCACCACAACATTGTCTGTATCAAGTACTTGTGTACTAACAAGACATCTCAAAATATGCACAGCATGTTATCTCTGAAAATGTCAAACCTCTAAACAGACGTGGACTGTGTGAGCTATGGGTCTAATAGACAAATCTCCTAATCTTAAATTTTAAATCTTTCTGGGGAATCTTTGCATGGTGTGTGTATATTGCTCTTTAGTTAGACAGCTGTACACAGCTTTGTGTAGAAGTCCATAAATATGAAATAATTCACTGCAACTTAAGTGCAGTATGTGAATCTGTCTGATCTTATTTCCTTTTTCAATGCAGGTGTGGAAGGCATGGAGTGCTCCCTCCCCATGGATGGCAGACGTGTATCCCTGACGCAGCTCTCAAAGGACAGCTTCCGTGAGTGCCAGGCAACCCTGACTCTAACAGACCTGCTCATCATAATTTTCTCCGGCATCTCTGTGTCTGTTGTGGCCATCATGACAAGCTTCTTCCTGGCTTCAACTGTTCATTGCTTCCAACGCTGGAGTAAAGGCACCAAGGGGGATGAGGAGGAAAGTGAGGAGTGAGAAGGATTTACCTTTAAGGACTCACATGGTCCTGGTACTTAAAACAATGAGAGGACACTGCAGACAGTGTGTGCTACATGTGTCAAGCTTCACGTTGCTTCCTCCCTGGTGAATATCCAGGGCTGTTTAACAGTTTGATATTTCCCTGGTACGGTTGCAATTGTTTTCTTTGCAGATGGACATCTGAAATATGGAAACAAAGGACATTCCCAAGGAATAAGCCAAAATCCCAATATACATTAGTGAGTGCCCTGATGCACTTGCAAAATTATATAATGAGTATAGAGATCGTATTTTGGCTGTGACAGCCTATGGTCATCTTTTGTGGCTACTGGCTCTTGGCTCGATGTTATAGGTTAGAGGCCTACACAATGATAAGGATACCTAATTAAAATTAAACTAGTGCTACAGTTCTGTCACATTAGTCTTAGACATGGCATTAACTTCTCAACATGTAATCACATTGGACATGCAACTCTGGAGTCTGAACTCCTATAAAATGAGATCAAACTTAACAAAACGTTCAGGGGTAGAATGCTTGACCCCATAAAAAAGGATGTCACACTGACCAATGACCTCAGTATTTAACTGCCTAAACATGATATGCTGGCATATCCTGCCATTTACAATGTCTTTTTTGGACTGCCTCACTCAATATAACATTCAAAAGTGATTCATAAGCACCTGAGAAGGTCAATACTGTTGTTCCTTCTGCATGTAACTTTAGACAGTGGCAGAGTTCTCAGTCGAACAAGAAGGATTTGGACAATGGTTAGATGTTAGGTAGGTGATGTACTGTAGGCAGGAAGAGTTTCCAGTGGGTCTTCTTTCAGCAGTATATTCATTATATAATCACAAATGTACGTACAAAAGAAAACAATGTACAGTCAAACAAACATAAATCAAGAGGATCTACTGTATATTCCTTAGATTGGTAACTGTGAACTGTGTAGAAAGATATAGAAAGATATCTAAAATAACAGTATAATCTTGAAAATGATGGCAAATACAGTATAAAAATAGAGTCTACGTAGAACTATTGTGTCAAATACCGCACTTTATATGGTGAACCTAATTATGGCAAGCCCCTAATTACACTATGTAGACTGGTTTTGTCTTTATCTGCCAAAGAGTAGGTTTAGGGGAAGGAGAGATTGCATGTAAGGACTTTCAAACAGAAGGCAGCACTATAGCCAAATCACACTCTATATACGCATACTCAGTATTGGTCTCCAAAGATTACCATTTTTTCCTAGTTTGTTAATGACTGAACTAGCTGTCTTACTTTGCTCCATCCATGACAGGAGGTGTGTCTCCTGAGGATTAAATAGACTTGTTTTCTTTAACATTCAGAATTGACACAGTTAGCCTATACTCCTTTTACTAAAGATCTTCCAATATCTTGTAGTAAAGCACCTGATTTGATGTCCTGGGAACATCTCATATCACAACTTTTAATGTATCAACAGCATCCGCATTCACAAGAGCGACGTTACAGTAAAATCTAAATTAAATAAAGCAGCACCCTGAATATTATGGGTTTCTGTTTGTTATTTGCATCCTGTATGTTTAAATCCACCTTTTGGATTTGAAATGCTCAAAGCTGGACTCTTTGTATTTTTCCCCCAAAGCTAAGGTATGTTACGTTGCTTCTCACATTCTTGTAAGGCATGCATAATTCAGCAAAATGGAGATATGAAAAAGAAAGAATGTTGAGCCTCTTCATGCAAACAAGCAGAGAATAGAAGAGCCATGAGCAAATAGAGTCATTGTTTCTGTGTGGTTAACAAAAGATAAAAGGGAATTCCAAATGCCAATGTCCCTTTAGAACATGTCATTACCCTGAATGTGCAGTATTGGGAGGCACATTTCACAGACATGATAAATGTGGCCTTATTTACTTTTGTTATATTTCATTAGTATCAGCAACAACTGAGCACAACGATGTCACTAATGTGATTCTAGTACGCTCTTTCATATTATATGTTGGTACCAGCTTGTATTGTCACAGTATGTTTTCATTAATGTGTATTGTCACATGTTGAATTGAAAATGCCACATCCATATAAACATGGTAAGATTTGTACTGTATGGATGTCATGTATTTTCCAGAATGCATAACATGTAGGACACTTTGAAGACACATGTCCATTAGAAATTAATTATAACAGCCAACTGACCTTTCGCTTAACCCCTTCCCCCGAACAGTGATTGTCGAATCCTAGCTTTGTGACTGTAACTAGGCACATTGGCAGGCCTGTCAAGCTTTGAATTTCTCCACATGTTTAAGTGGTCTAAGAAGAGTGAAATTCTGTATCTCAAGAGTTTGGAGGGTGGGATCTTTTTAATGTTAGCTGCAAACATTAGCATGTCCAGCTAACTAGCTTGCTACCTACATTTGTAACTAAGCATTACTTGCAAGGGCTGTGGGCTATAATTAGCTTACAACATTATTTTATATTAGAATTTTAGAATAATGATCTGCAGCTCTGTCTCATTTGTTTCCAAATGTTATCAGACTGAATAGATCAAATACTGATTACATTAGCTTGCTACACTTATAAAATCTTTTTGCTGACAAAATCCAGACCTAGTGTGTTAAAAATTACTGCAACTTCGTAAATCTGGCACCGTTATCTCAGGATGCAGTGTGAGAATAGAAAGGTTGACAGGCCCTGCATGACAAAACTAAGGAATGCGTGGCTTAGTGAATGGGCAATTCTAACATTTAATTCAGTACAGTCATAAAGGGAAATGCCACTGAATTTCAGATTTGAAGTCTGTTATACTTATTTCTTATGACAGTTTGGTCAGTATTATTATAACAACACCTAGTATTCCTTACAGCCAGAGTGAACCGGTGCCCTCTTTCACACGGAGACAATGAGAGTATTTAGATACTCAACATCCAACGAAAGTGTAAAAACTATTTGAGTTTGAGTCCAGAAAGTGAGTTCCCAATTGTTGACATGAGAGGAGCAGGTTCTTATCTTCAGAAAACAAAAATAAACATTTAAATGCTTAAGACCACAAGAATAGCTAAATTGGATTAATAACATTGAGTGGTTTTCACCTGAGAAATTGCTTTCTTAACTGATACCTGAAGGTGCAGACCTTAGTCAAGGAATCAGAGGGAGAGTTTTTATACATATCATTATTATTTCCAACTACTGTGTAGTTACTGTATATTGACAAATTATTATGTTAGCTTAGCTATTAGCTTGAAGCATATGTTAGCATGATGATTTCCTTTCTCTTACTCATTTTATTTAGTAACAAATATCAGCACATTAGAGCATGCACTGTTGAGCTACCTACAGTATAAAGTTCAGATTCATGTCTATTTTTCTATTAAACCTTTCAGAAAGAAGCAGTCCCCAAAGTCATTTTCTAGCATTGCTCACCCTCAAAATCGGTGGCTGCTGTCATAAACTTTGTCTTGACATTGCAAAATACCAAAATTCACGTTATTTTTTGTCAGATAAATATCAGAATGGCTCAAATTTAAATTAAGTAACAGAGAAGAGTGTGACATTGCACAGCTGAATGCATTTCCAAATGTCAAACAGACCATATGTGTAGCTGTATATTGATGTTTGGTAAAAAATAAATAATTAAACACATTTTTTTCTGTCTTCTGGTCTGTATTTGTTAAGAGTGTGTATCCAAAAGTCAAAGTTGACTTATTTTAAGTTAAGTATGTTATATATGTGTACATAACATCATGTGACTTATGTAGCATACTTATTTTAACCCAAACCATGATCTTTTCTAAGACTAACCACCTTTATTTGGTTTCCGTTGAGTTTAATGGAGTGTGTTTAACGATGAGTTGACAAAGGACTTAGCTTGGTAAAAGACAGAAATGTGAAGGATATTTCTTTTCTTGACATTTTATTAGTTTATTTAATTTTTTTTCTATTTGTTGTTAATTTATTAGACTGAAAAAGCTAAAGGTGAATGTGTGACATAACAAGCTCACACACATCTCCCAGTTTAAACTACAGGATGGAGGCCTGAATTATACTAGATTATGACCTCTTGAGGTACAAAGTGGTATTACGAAACAGTACGGTCCAGGGCTGACTGGTTAGCATGCTGACTTCAGTCGATATCTCTGCAACACAACAGACGTCTTTGACATAACGTCTGAACTTTTACTCCTGCATATTTTGTTGATTATACAGCTAGTTTAACAGTGTGAATTTGCGGTCCCCTCAAAATAACACATCACACAGCCATTAACGTCTAAACAGCTGACAACAATAGTGAATACACCCCTAAGTGAAAATGTCCAAATTGGGCTCAATTAGCCATTTTGTGTCAATATTTTGTGTGGCCACCATTATTTTCCAGCACTGCCTTAACCCACTTGGGCATGGAGTTCACCAGAGCTTCAGGGGTTACTGGTGTCCTCTTCCACTTCTCAATGACGATATCACAGAGCTGGTGGATGTTAGAGACCTTGCGCTCCTCCACCATTGAGGATGCCTCACAGATGCTCAATAGGGTTTAAGTCTGGAGACATGATTGGCCAGTCATCTTCTATAACAAGGCCAATGGTCATTTTGGAGGTGTGTTTGGGGTTGTTATTATGTTGGAATACTGCCCTGCGGCCCAGTTTCCAAAGGGAGGGCATCTGCTTCAGTATTTCACAGTACATGTTGGCATTCATGATTCCCTCAATGAACTGTAGCTCCCCAGTGCCGGCACTCATGCTGCCCCAGACCACTATCACCACCATGCCTGACTGTAGGCAAGACAAATTTGTCTTTGTTCTCCTCACCTGGTTGCCGCCACACACGCTTGACACCATCTGAACCAAATAAGTTTATCTTGGTCTCAACAGACCACAGGACATGGTTCCAGTAATCCATGTTCTTAGACTGCTTGTCTTCAGCAAACTTTGTGGGCTTTCTTGTGCATCATCTTTAGAAGAGGCTTCCTTCTGGGACAACAGCCATGCAGACCAATTTGATGCAGTGTGCACCATATGGTCTCATAAGGCGTGTACTAGGGCTGAAACGATTCATTGATTAAATTGATTACTAAAATGCATCGACGCAAATAACTATATAGCACACTGTTTTCGCACGGACATTTATTACTCTTGCACATCGCGATTACGCAGTGAACACAACGTGATTATGATGCCGCTGTTTGTAAAGTGGAGGAAGAGAGAGAAAACAGCAAGGGACAAAGAAGAAAGTGTCCTAAGTATGGGATTATTTCAAGCTAAAGAAAACAACAACTCTGTAATGTTACCGTCAGTCCACCGTAAAACGAAACTTATGTTGCCTCGGCAACACAACGGTACCTGATCATAAAGCACCTGGTGTTCTGCCAGCAGACCACAGACAAGGTAACAGAAACTTTAGCATTTAACTGAAATCATGATTGATTGTTGAGTTGAAGACTAGCCAAAATAAGCCGCAGACCTCAGCTGAAAATGTACACACATGCGTTTGTTGTTCTCCTTTTTGGGCCGTGAGTTGTAACCTCAGCGTCATGAGTTAACCGGGTGTCGGGGAGCTGCACCTTTTTACTCACCTCCAGCTCTCACTGTACCTCAGAGAATCCCTGCTACCTGCGTGTGCTAATCCATCCTTTCTCCCATATTCTTTGTCTTTATAATTGCTATCTTTATAATAACAAAAAACAGCTGTTTTGTGTGTAGGATTACTCATTTCACGTTTCACATTTCATGTGTGTTTTCTTGACAAAATGTGGTTTGGGGACCAGCCATCAGCCATTGCTGAAAGTCGTGAAGTCTGCACGGGCCTTTAGTATAACTTATATATAGCTCTCGGGTGATGTTTGTGTTTGTAAAGCAGCTGTCTGGTTGTTCGTCTGTTGATGTTGTTGGTCTGATGTTTGCTGTATGACACACTATGAATTTCTGAAAGGACCAATAAATATCTATTACCTATAAACGTGCATAGCTTATCCCGTTACCGGGGGGGGCGCCGCCGCCGGCAAGCAAAAGTACTTCTTAAATGACGCATCAGTGAATTGTTGAAATAATCTATAGATGCTTCGAGTACTAAAATCATCGTTAGCTGCAGCCCTAGAGTGTACTCACTTTTGTTGCCAGCAGTTTAGACATTAATGACTGTTTGATGTGTTATTTTGAGGGGACAGCAAATTTACACAAGCTTATTCAAGCTGTACACTCACTACTATTTATTTGTATTTAAAAAAAATGTGAGGAGTGTACTCACTTTTGTGAGATACTGTATGTCAATGTACATCATGCTGTGATAGAGACTATTCTGCACAGGGCAAGTAATACTATTTAAGGCTGCATAGATTATAGTTTATAATAGCTTGATTTAATTGTGCTGCCCTAAATGCAGAGAATGTGATTCTTAGCAAAGAATATCTACTGCAAAGTTTTAATAATGATTAGTTTAGATTAGATTAATAATGATTTAGTAATAATTGTGAATCTTCCACTCAGTTCCTGAACTTGACAGATTTTGTCTTGTTACAGCAGCAAATGAGAGAAGCTCATCGGTAAACACGACTCAGTGTGTAATTTCACACAGTAGCTTACTGTTATCACACTGCAGGTATGCAAATGGTGGTCCTATTTTTGGAAGGGTGTTAGAGAAATTAGAGACTTTCAAATCAAATACCATCCGCTTGCGTAACAACTATCCAGCCTGTTGGACACTCGCTTTCATTCAGCGCTGTGTGTATTTAGACAATAAGTCAAACAAAAATTTATTTACATGTAATCCTAACCCAAAACGTCAAATTATTTAGCTCATGTGAGGTACTGCACAGAGGAGATCACCTCTTGACAGAGGTTTGTGTTTTTTTTCTTTATCCCTCATGCTAATGATGCATTTCACCACATTTACCTCAGCACGTTCCTTTGTCATGTGCTACTGTGAGAACATACGAAGCAGTCTAACATGATAGTATGCTTTTTTTAAGAAGTCTGTAGTCAAAGAATCACTGAATGAAACCAAACCTCACCCTCAGGGTATGCTATGTTGGCAGTGTCATGACACACAGCAGAGAGCAATGAGCAAAGAATCCTGTACAGGGATTTTTGTGATTCCAAACAGGAATTGCTATACTCGACAGGGAATAGCATGCAAGAAAGACTTGCACATACTACTTTAGTGCACCACTGAAAAGATGCCTGTGAGGGTGGTGGTTGTGATGAGGATTCTCCTGCAACCATCTACCTCATTTGGTTGTCATGGCTACACAGCCGGAGGGCCGAGCTCTTGGACGCCGAGGCGGGAACAGGGAGAGGGAGGGATGCTGGTAAGCATGGCCCTCAGTGTGGCTGCCTCGCCTGTCTTTCCATGCATCACATAACTGGACCTGGCATTTAAAAAGAAAAAAACTACGTTTGTCCTTAGCACTGGGCTCCCTGTGAACCAATCTGTGACTTTCACATCCATCATCACCCTTTGATTTGTCTGTAAAAGGCATTGTGATAGGTCAGATAAAAATATTCATCATAACATCCACATCACCACTGATGTATACTGTATGTAATCAATTTAATGCCATTACACTGGGGAGGGTCATCATCTTCTGCTGAGCTTCAGTGGCTCAACTGTGTGACTATTTTGTCACAAGTAGGATTTATTTATTGTATTGTGAACGATAACTTGAAGACAAATAAGTTACTTGGTCATACAAAATGACTTACAGCACAAGATTTCTTCACACAAAACAATGCCGAAAGTAAATTAGAATGAATACACTCACTGGCCACTTTATTAGATACACCTTGCTATTACGGGGTTGGACCCATTTTTCCTTCAGAACTGCCTTAAATCTTTTATGACATACTTTCAAAAAGGTGTTGGAAATTGACATGATAGTATCAGAATCAGTTTTATTGCCAGGTATGTGTACACATACGAGGAATTTGACTCAGGATTGTACATTGCTCACAATGTGCTTACTTATACAATAATAAAATAATAACACAAACTACAGAGTAGACAGCACTAATATACACACTATGAACAAAACAATATAGACAAAAAGTGCAGTAATCAGAGTGCAAAGGATCCAAGAGTAAACTATTCTCATTATGTACATGTTGAAGGTGGATATGATATACAGGTACACATACACATACATGCATACATGTACACATGTACACAGTGTGATGGAGCATAGTGCAAAGGATGCTGGAAAAAATAAATAAGACCTATGACCTTATGACCTGAGGTAGGTGTATTGGTATACAGTATATACAATATGACATAGTATGAACAGCACTGAAATAGAGAATGGTGAATAAATAAATAATAAGTGGAAACCAGTAAACAGGTGGCTGATTAGAGACAGAGTTACTTGGTTATTGCACAGGAATTGTTGGTTTTGGCAACAGTGCTCTGTAGCGCCTACCAGAGGGGAGGAGCTGGAACAGGTTGTGTCCGGGGTGAGATGGATCTGCAGTGATGTTCCCTGCCCGTTTCCTGACTCTGGAAATGTATAAGTCATGAATGGAGGGCAGGTTGGCACAGATTATTTTTTCTGCAGTCCTGACTGTACGTTGTAGTCTGCTCCCTGTCCTTTTTGGTGGCAGATCCAAACCAGACAGTGATGGAGGTGCAGAGAACAGACTGGATGATGGCTGTGTAGAACTGGATCAGCA